TGACTTCCCTGTCCCTTGGACAGTCCAGAGACCAAAGTGGTAAGAAGGCACCCTGATTATGTGAGATCTTTGCCTTCTTTAATGGAGATCGATCAGCAATCAAATGTAGAGTGAAAATGATCAGGCCACTGCAGGGCTCAGACCTCTGCCACCTGGGGGGTGGGATTTACGCGTTAAACTAGCTAGACCAAGTAGATTATGAAAATGGTCAATCAGCTATTAACCCAAGGTTCCGTTTTTTTCCTCACCCTTTCTCTCTCACACACACACCAAATGAGTAAAAAAAAGTGCCTGTCGAAATAATCTCTCCCCAAAATCATCCAGTTGATTTACAAACATCAAGAGGCACCAGAACTTGGCATTGCACCACAAGGGCCAGCAGGTTCAAGGCCACATTCTACCCTATGGTTTTTGAAGCTACAAGAAGCTCTCTAGAGACGTGGTAAGCTAGTCTGAGAGCTAACGTCAACGTGTGGTATTCGTTACTGGTTTAATAGTGGTTTTTTCACTAACAGCTAAGGTGAGCAGTGAGTTAACACTGAGGGCCCTTGCTTAGTACCAAAGGCCAAACAAAAACAGAAACAGAAACAGAAAAACAAAAAAAGGAAAAGAGAAAAGAAAGAAAGAAATTCCCCTTCCCCAACTAAACAGGAACTCTAGGTTTTATACTCTGACGACCCAGATATAGTCAAAGAGATCATACAGAATGTTCCTGGGGAGAAAGAGACCTCAATTCGTAGCTCTCCGGCCAACTTTTCAGCTTAGAAAATGTCTTTACAAGGGAATACTGAAACAAATACAAACAGAGGTTTATGGGATAGAAACAGTGAAAGATTTTAAACAGAACTAAACTCAGCTCTGGGGAACTGTGACCACATTATCTCAACTTCCCATTACTTGCTTGTAATAACACATAACCCAGGCCCTTCCCCTAACTCTAGTGCTCTGAATTCCCATAAGGAAATATCACTTTTCGGAGAAGGAGAAAAAAATCAAACACATTTTCCTGTATAGTCAATGAGAGGTAATGGGAGGAAGAGGGGAAGAAAGTCGGGTCAGAAGGGTCGAGGGGTTTTTTGTTTTACCCAATGTAATAAAAACCTTCTTAATGCAGAGACTGAAGATATAAAACCAAGGAGGCTTCAAATGGTTGTACTGAGCTGAATTCTGTAAATACCTGCACTGGGAAGACACCATGTTTTCAACCCCAGCTTGCAAGTTGTGTTAATGATGCAAATTAGACTGCCTTATTTATTAACAAGTCCAGTGTGGCTTATGTAACCACACTCAAAACTTACTCTGTGCATCTTAGATGCATGTAAAGCACAATCCAAAGTTCTAGAACCCCCAGTGTAGGACCTGAGAAGTAAACATCAGAGAAATAAAAACGGATGCCTCTCACCGAATCCTTCTGAATGCCAGGATATTTGTTTTTAGTACAATTAATTGCAGTGGAAAAGCTTACTAAGGTGAGGGGGCCAAAATCAATGTATTAATGACATCACATTATAGTCACTTAAACCAAGCCAACAATTTATTGCACATAGAGGCTCTGGCAGCAGAAGCTGCAAATTCTATTTATGTTGTACTAATAGGGAAAAATATTACACTTGTCTCCAAATATGCCCCCCCCAAATCAGAAACTACCACCCAAGAAATTCAGAAAAAAAAGGCCATCACTGATCTCTACAAAATAAGAGCAATATAAAAGTGAATGCCCCCTTTCACCACCATGTAAATACACCTAACACTTCATGCTACCAGATGATACACTTAGAGATGGTTAAGATGGTAAATTTTATGTTAGGTATTTTTGACCACAATAAAAAAGAAACGTGTGATCTATTTTAACCATGCCTTTTACCACTTGAGTGAGACAGAACTTGTCCTTTGCAGTACATTTTGGCACCTGATACTACAGAGATTCAATAGCCAGTTACATAACTCCAACAACAGGCTTGACTCTTGAATTCCACTTATATGTGACAATGGTATCATTTTTAAATTTAATTTAGCATGGCTTTGGTATAACTACGTCAAAGTAATAGAAGCTGACACTAAGCAGCAGTGTGATGTTGGGCAGATGTGATGCATCTCTACAGACAGAGAAGAGAGATGTAGGTAAATAGATCATGTTGGTGGGTAAAGAGTATGCGACAGATTACTATGACAGAATTTTTGATAAAACAGGCTCAAACGATGACTCTAAAAATGAAATGTCAACTTGGCTTAAAATATGCACATAGAAGTAAAAAATAAAACTCTCTTAATGAGTCTATGCACATAGTTTTAGAATGTTCTACCATGGGCTCTCTCTGAACCCAAAAAGCACCATGGTGTACTTTTCCCCAAATATATAGATATTAAGTGATGTACCATTTTTAAATGATATAGTAAACTGTTGCTTCAGCAAGTTCCAATTATAGTTTATTTACTTCCATTTTTCCTATTGAAAAAAATAGAAACATGAAATTTCAGCTAAGCACCATTAAACTGGAACTTTCAACAAGGTTATTTTAGGAATACCATTGGGTCTCATAACAAAGTAAAAAAAAAAAAAATTGTAATTTGGTTCCAACTGTAGCTGGTATCCATTGGCCAAGAATATAAAAGCTGTTCAAACAAATACTAATATGTAAGAAAAAGAGCCAGATGGTGTCATATATGGATGACAGGGAAACAAGCTCATCCACTGATGTCATTTTGATATCAAAACAACAGAATTCAAAATAATTATATGAAGTGCTTCCCAAACAAGGATTTTGGTACATTTTACAGAACACCAGGGCACAAACCGGCTGGGGTCAAACAAAGCTGAGGGGCAGAGCTGAGCACAGACTTTTTCTCAGAACTCATATCTACCAACCCCATCAAGAATCACTAAAGAACGTAATTCCCCATCCCAAACACTAACCCTACACACCTCCCCACGCTCTCAATTTCAGTGGATTTTCAAATCAAAAGAAAAAAAAAAAATAACAGAAGAAATGAGGAGTGCCACTGACAACAAACACTTGGGTAAAAATAAAAAAGCATCAGTTTTTTAAAGTCTGGAGATAGGAACCTGCCATCAGATATTACAGAAACCACAGCAATTGTGAAAACTGATATAAGAAAGCTCAGCTCAAATCTATTGATTTCATCAATACCAGGCAGCTAAGACCACTAAGGTTTAAAACAGTGTTTTTTTACACTTAAAGAGAGTTTTATTTTCCTTTTCTCCGATTAGGGCCTTAAAAATATTACAGTGAAAAAAAATGTTACAATGAAAATGATTGGCTTGATCCCCTTTCCTCCTTCATTATAGATGCATCATCTAATACAGAATTTCAAAACTACCACCAACAAAACAAGACGTCTGACTGTATAAAGGCACTCTCCCTGGTCTCAAAATAGTCCAAAAGGCTCTGAATTCCATATGGCTTCCTCCATCTGACTACTGACCTCCCATCTCATGAAAGAGACACAGATCCTGATAGAAGGCCACAGACATTTGACCAGACCAACCAGGGCCAGCACAGTTGGGGCCCTACCCACCCTTCCTCCGCAGTGGATCCTTGCAAAACAAAAACAAAAACAAAAACAAAAACAAAAACAAAACCCACCCAGATCCCAGCCTCCTGGATCCAGCCTGACAGTTGGCTCCTCCCAGCACATCTCAGCTCTGCTAGGCCTGCACATTCCCCTCTATGCTACTGCCATTTCCTTCTGGCCGAGCCTTAGACCATGAGCATCACCAGCAGAATAAACAACAGAGGCTAGGAAGGTCTCTTACTTACATTAAAAACAGGTTATCTCAGTCAACAACGTTGGCAGAAACAGGGTGTGCGTTTTCTGGGGAGGAAAAAAAACATGCGCACTCGCCAACCGGAAGGCCACAGTCCAAGCCCTACTTTCAGGGCTGCCTATCTGAGCACCGAACACTGTAAGGAAAACCAGGAGAAACTTTGCCTGACAATCCTCTGCATGGATGAATAAAATCTCATGCCAGTGAAATGTAGGCAATGACCAAGTCCCTTGGGCGGGGGGGTGGGGGGGAGAGACACCTCTAGGAGAGGTGACAGGGAGTGCTGGGGATGGCACTGGTGGGTTCCTACTTGGTAATGTATTTATCACAAGCCGTCAGAACAGGAGAACAGAAATACACAACTCTGCTTCTCCCTCAGAGCAAGACAAGCTCAGACATTTCCAGGGACACAGAGGTCCGTCCCATGCTAAAAGGCAGCATTCTACACCCTGCTTTATCATCCAACCTAGTCCTGGGATGGTATTCAATCGGCAATTGAGATTTATAGTCCAAATGGTCTCAAAATTATATCTCTGGGAAGTCAAATCCAAATTAAATCAGACCAGGCTTTTAGGCTTCCGACAAGCACATTTTCTCTTTCAAGAGAGCACATTTCAACACTCAGAACTTCTCCTCTTACAGACCATTTTCCAGGCCAGCTCTGGATGCCATCTCCTAACAAAAATCTGATCTATAAAATGAAAAGGGAAACCGGTGAACTCCAAACCTCAGCGAATGATGTTTAAGGGGGCCACTCTAACCTCCTTCAACAGATTTCCAAAAGTTCATTATTTTAACCTCCTTTCTAGTAAATACTACTGGAACTTCTAACCCAACATACACTTAGCACCTTAGGAAAGAAAAATGTCCAAAACTAAGTTATTGCATAAGTAAAGCCTAAAGCACACCCATCAGGGCTTTGAAATACAGAGTGTATATGGAATCCCCCCCCCGGCAAAGAACATATATATTTATGTTACTGACACATACAGTATACTTAAAACTTATTTTCAACTGTCCACTTCTCCCCCACGTTAGCAGCCCCAAGCCAGAGAAACAGGTAGCTGACAGATGGCCCAGCCCTGCATCTCCCCTGTATGTCGGACTTCTTCCCAGACCTGAGACAACATTCATGCCCCGGACAGACACGCCTGGCCAGCCCCAGCCCGAGGGGCGAGGAGAGAAGGAAGGAGGAAGAGCACCAGGAACTCACATTTCGGTGATGTTCTCAGGGTCTGCACTGTTGGGCTCCAACCTCGGAAACGCCACGATGCCCGGAGAAGGGTCGCTGCACCAGATCCTAGAGGCGCTGCATTTGCAGGACGTGGGACAGGCGAGAGCGGCCCTCCAGAAGCCCACAACCAGCCAGCAGAAGCCCCAGAGCCGCGCCATGGCGGGTCCATGCCACCTCGTCCAGGACGACATCCCTAGCCGCCAGTGCCAGCCCGAGTCGGACTGAGTACGTGTCCGCGCGCTGCACGGGCGGGCCTCCCCTGCCCCTGCTTGGGCGGCCTGTGCCGCGCTCGCCGCTCCTTCGCCCGGTGCCTGTCGCGGGCGCGCAGAGCCGAGCGTGTCCGGGGCTGAGCGTGTCCTGGCGGGCGGCACCGTTCACAGTGGCCGGGGCATCTTGGGCCGCCTCACAGGGGGCGCTACGGCCGCTCGGAGCTCCGCCGCGGCCGCCGCTGCATGGCCCGGCGCGCCGAGCACCGGCCCGCGGCGCTGCCGGCACTCCCCGGGACGCAGGCTCCTTGCTAGACGCGCACTGGGATCCGGGACGCACCTCGGGGCTGAGGACAAACAGATACGCGTGAGACTGAGCGCTGGACCCCATACAGCGCGCTCGCGGCACCCCCACCCCGACCCCAGCCAGGGGACTGTGGATGGATGCGTGCCCAGCTCCGGCCCCAGAAATAAACTTGCCCCTCGATGGCACTGACGCCGCCGAGGCCACCGATGTGCCCCCCTCTCTCTGAGGTCGAGGGAGGGGAGACAGGGCAAGGGTCCCCGAGACAGGATTCCATGGCACAGGCCGAGCGTAGGACCCTTTAAAGGGGAACGCGGAGACCGCCTGCGGCGGAGATGGCTCCGCGACGGGGGCCCCCAATGATGCTGCAGAATCCGCCACGGCCGCTGGGCGCAGGGGGCGCGGGCAGGTGGCGCGGCGCGTCCCACCTGGGGAGCCGCCACGGCCGTCCCGGGGGGTGGGGGGGACAGCGAGGGCCGAGACGCCGGAGGGCACTGTCCGCGCTGCTCACCCGGGCTCCGGCGCCTACAGCCCGCCCGCGGCGCCTGGGTGCAGGCTCCTCCTGCCGCCGGGCACTGAGCGCGGAGAGCGCGAGCGAAGGAGCGAGCGAGGCTCCTGCTCCAACCCAATTCCGGGAGCCGCCGCCGCCGCCGCCGCCGCCTCTGCTACTGCTGGCGAAGTGACGTGAGGGCTGACGCAGAGCAGGGGCAGAAACTCCAGAAAATTAGTCTGAAATCCAAAAACACACACGCTCATGCACACACAAACCCATAACACCCTCCAGACAAAAGCAACAGGGAGGGGAGGGGAATCTGGGGGCGAGTGGGGAGGAGGGAGGCATCGGTGCCACTGGCCAGGAGCAGACAGCAGCAGCATGTGGGAGTTCATACACGCGCACACACGCACACATCCTGGCTGGGTAGACGCGCGCGCCTGTGTGTGTGTGTGCACGCGCACGCGCGCGCGTATGTGCGCTGAGCTCCAGGTACCTCCGAGATGGACCGTTCCACCGCTCGACGCCTCTCAGTCCCTACTTCACACCACCGTCTCTTCTATCATCGCAGTAGAGGCTGTCTCCTTTTTTGAAATGGAAACCGGGCTCGGTTCAGCTCTGAAAAATGCGCTGATTCTTATTATAGGAATCCTCCCTCCCCTCTCCCTCCCCGCTGCGTTCTCCTTTTCCCATCCTGCCTAAAAGGGAGGGCAAGCTAGCCTAAAAATAAATAAATATTGTAAACACCAAAACGTGTTCAGCATTGGTAACCAAGGATAACCGCCCCCATTCCGGGCCATCTATTTGGGGATCCGTGGTTTGGGAGGGTCTCCCTGTGGGTGCTTTTGCAGAGGGAGGGGAGTCTCCAAATACAACTCTAGCTCTCTAAGTGGGTCTTTTTCCTGGCGTGCTCCGGCATCACACGCCCGGGAAATAGAGACATGTGAGGGGAAGGGAGAGCGCCTGACGCGTATTGGGTTCCCGAAACGCGCGGCCGCAACCCCGGCCTGTCCGATGTGTGGCGCCGCGTCATTTTCTGTCATCCTTCAGCCTGGCAGGGTTCGGCCGTTCCCAGATCGTCGCTTCACTCACCGCGATGCCCACCCCCGCCCCCGCGGGGCACCCCGAGCCCTTGCTCCCCTGCCGTACCTTGCGCGATTTCGTGTGTGCGCGGGTGTGCGCGAACGCGTGCCCTGCGCCCGCGCTGCCCAGAGCACGACATGCATCCAGGTACCGACAAGCCCGGCGCGGGCAGAGCCTCGGGGTCTCACTAGGGACAAACGAGGCGATCCGGGAAGCTCGGGTGACAAACCGTAACTGCTCTGCGGGCGCAGTTAAATGATGGCTGCGGGGCATCCGCAAGCCTTGTCTGAGAATCCGTCTTCCCCATTTGCGGCTCCGAGAGTCTGTTTTTCCGCAGTCATTTAAAAGGGAACTGGGAAAATGCACCGCAGTGCCTGACACTTCCGAGGGCTCTGGTGCCCCCGCGCGGGGAGAGAGCGCCCCGCACGCTCCGGAGCACCAACCCTCCGCCGCGGCGGTGGCGGGCATTGCGCGGGGGGCGCGCTCTGGCTCCAGATGCGCAACCAGCGGCACCCCACGCGTGCGCGCCCCTGCCCCGCCGGCACGCCGCTCGCCCGACCTCGCGGAGCTCCTGCCCGAGAAAAAGGCGGGCAGCGCTCAGCTCCAGAAAGGGCGACAGGATGGACTCTTGTCCAGAAGATAAGAATGGTCACCGATCTGCTCGCAGAGGCTGAGGGTGTGAAGGATCCAGAAACCCGAACGTCAAGGTGAATGCTTGCATCTTGGGGATGCCTTAAATATTACAAGGGAACGGAAAGCATCTGGGCGGGGGGGCTATTGTACAGACCCGGGGCGCTGAGTGTAACCGCGAGAAACCCTCGCGCAGCGCCCCGAAATCTCGCTGCAGGGCCGAAAGACAAGGCCGGCAGGTCGGCCTCTTTCCACCGCCACAGCTGTGACCTGCATCGTGTGCTGAAGTTCATTTCTCAGCTCGGCCCCCAACCCCTGCTGGGTGAAGACCTGCTAAGGAAGGGAAGCCAACGGCAAAACTGTCTTGGTCCAAGACACACAGTAACACTCTCCCGCCTGTCTTGCCAGTGCCCTTAATGGAGCTGCCCCTGCGGAACACCTGGGGGAGGGTGTGTACCTAATTACCCACCTCTCTCTCACACCCCGACCCTCATCCCATTTTTTCTCAGAAATGGCCCATTTGCACCCTAGTGGCTGCAAAGTGTCAGTACAGCAGCTAAAGAACCGAAGGTTTCAGAGTGGTTTGCAGACCAGATTCTAATTACGTTGGAATAATTTTAGAAGTTGTATTATATACATACTACTATTATATTTAGATTTTAGACATACCCCACTGACTGTTTCCCACTTGAAATTAGAACTGGCTGCCCCACTTCTAATCACACTTCCCCTGCTCTGTTTCTTCCATAGTACCTACCATTGTTTAACAGATCATTTACCTATTTACTTGGTTTATATAGTTTATTGTATTTCTCCAAGCGGAATGTAAACTCCATGAAGGCAGGGATCTTTATTTTGTTCATCGATATATCTGAAGGACATAGTGGGTATTAAAATATGTGTGTGTGTGTGTGTGTGTGTAATGAATAAATGAAATAAGCTAAAGTTGCGATTCCTCAAATAGGCCCTCTTCACTCTCACTTTCTTAACCTATAACCCTGCAAGTGTGTCTGAATGATTGGCCCTGGAGAGTCTCCCTCCAGTCATCAGAATCTCAATTTTCTCGGTGCTATCCCAGCTGTTAGCACTTCGGGGAGTCTGACTTTCTACCTCTTCTAATATCCAGGTATGTTTTAGCCTGGGCCAGGGAGGGACCTCCCCCCCATCCATGCTAGTAACTCAACATCATCATGCACAATACCTGGAAACATCAGGCAATCAATGACTATTTCTCAACTGATAGAATTACGGATCTATCTCAATTTTAAGAACCACCAGATCTTTCACGGACATTATTTCAGGGATCCTCAGACCATGACTTTGTAGGAGATGATGAATATTTTTGAGATGGACAGCCACTTTGGAAACAAAGAACCATTTCTTAAAAAGTGAGGCATAGTCCTACCATATGATCCAGCCATTCCATTTTTTTTGTATTTGTGAGAGAGAAGTAAAAGCCTATGCCCATACAAAGACTCTTATGTGAGTGTTCATAGCAGCTTTGTTTGTGGAGGCCCCCAAACTGGAAACAACTCAAATATGTATCACCAGGCGAACTGGTGAACAAATTGTGGCATACCCACACCATGAGAGGCTACTCAGCAATGAAGAATCTCAAAATAATTATGCTGGGTCAAAGAAGCCAGACAAAAAGGAGTAGCTACTGTATGATCCCATTGTCATAAAACTATAGGAAATATGAACTATCATGACAGAAAGCATATCAGTAACTGCAGGTGAGTGGAGCAGAGAGTGGAAGGAGCCACAGGGATCAGCAACACGGGTGCCCAGGAAGCTTTGAGGATGATGAATGTATTCATTATCTCGATTATGGTGATGATTTCCATATTATCACGTTGTGTGTCTAAATATGTTTAATTTATTATATGTCATTCAACCAAGCTATTTTATTTATGTTTTGAGAGAGAGAGAGAGAGAGTGTGTGTGTGTGTGTGTGTGTGTGTGTGCGCACCAGCAGGGGGAGGGGCAGAGGGAGACTCTTAAGCAGGCTCCACACCCAGCACGGAGCTTGAAGCTGGGTTTGATCCCAGGGCGCTGAGATCATGACCTGAGCCGAAATCAAGAACCAGACGCTTCACCCACTGAGCACCCAGGCACCACTCAATAAAGCTATTTTGAAAAGCAAGAAACAAACACTGCCCTAGATCCTCCAATCATTAGCTTCTTGTTCTCATTGGAGTGCTAGTAGAACCTCCAATTTTAGGAAGCTATTATAAAGTTCAGAGGTTTTGTAAATAAGATCAGAATCTGTAATGTTCTAATAGTAGAGGGACCTTCTATGTAATACCTTTTACATTCTGGAAAAAGATTGGGGACACCATCATTTGTAAGATGGGAGACATAGTGGCCCACACCTAAAAATAGCTTGAGTGTGCATTAATAGGAGAATGACTCAATATATTATACTTCCATTCTTTATACTATTCTACACTTAATTAAAATGAGTTAAACTATAAACAGTAACCTGGAGATGTGTCCATAGTCCATATAAGTGAATAATGGAAGTTGCATGGCAATATTGAGTCTGAGCCTACAGAGAAAGCCACCGTTTGTGAATGTGTTTGCTGGGGTGTGCATATAGAGAAAGGAAGTCAGAGAAACACTTATACCAAACACATTGGTAACCTAGAGGGATCGGAGTTGTTTGGAGGAAGAGGGCAGACCAGAAAACTTGCAAGATGTTTCTTTGGCACTAATAACCTCCTTACCCACAATGTGTCTTATTTTATCACCTTTTCCTCTTTTGATTGATCTTTCCCTCTGATCCAGAGTTATCCTGTTTCTAGAGTCCCTCCCTTTTGTGGAGCACAACTGAATCTAAAAGCATGTTTGCAATCTATAATGTTCACCACTGCATGTGTCACTTCCTCAAGAATATCTGTATGTTAGTAGAAGGCACTGGAGACATAATCCAAAGGAGTTTCGGGTACTGTGCCATCCACAAATAGGGGAGTATTTGGGGACTGAAGACCCTCAACACAGGCCACAATGGAACCAGAGGCTGCTTTATGATTAGCCCTACACTTGCTGCCTCTCACTCAATCACCTCTTTTGTTGTTGAGAAAGTTTCCAGCTGCTTCCTATCCCACACCCTCTAGCTCTGAGTTAGGGTCTCACTTGTCCCCAAGTCTGCCCACATAGTCTGAGAACCACATGCTGCCATGCCTCTGAACCCTCATCCCACTTCCTGTCCTTCCTGAGTCCCAACCTTCCACTTTTAACTCTTAGTCACACATTTAGCACACACTAAATCAACACAGACTTATGGAGCTTTTACAAACAGCTAAAAGGAAGAGCATACAGAGAAAATTCGACAGAGCCTCAGGAAATTGGAATCACATATACCTAGGTGTCCCTGAAATCTAAGTTTTAATTATTGATCTGATTAGATCTCGTGGTAAACTCCAGATTGTTTTCCTAGTCTAGGTCAAGAGTCTTATATCAATAGTCATACCAGGGAGTTAGTTAACTTATTTCTCAATAAAAAGTTATGGTATGCCTTTTCTGTGCCACTCAGCCTAGATTTAGTGAGATAGGCAAGTGTTCCCAGTTCCAACTCAATTGACAATTACAGCCCACGCAAAGATCAGTGTTTATGGCCATATCACCCTTCGAGTTGACAAGCCACAAGCATTCAATCATATCAGACTTCTACAGTTTATTAACTAAATGTTCTTACAGCTGGAGTAGCTGCTCATTATTAGTTTTTTGACCAATATCCTTTTAGACCCATGCTGTCCAATATGGTAGCCAACAGCTTGTGTGGCTCTCATGTACTTGAACTATGGCCAGTCTAAAATGAAATGTGCTAAAAAATAAAATAAAATATGCTACAAGTAAAATACACACATTAGTGTAAAGACTTAACAGGAAAAATGCAAAATATCTCATTAATGATTTTACATTTATTTTGTGTCAGAATGATAATATATTGGATTTATTGGTTAAATATATCACTATCAAAAACTAATGATGTACCATATGTTGGCTAATTGAACATAATAATAAAAAATAAAATTAAATAAAATAAATAAATATATCACTAAAATTAATTTCATCTGTTTCTTTTTCCTCTTTTTAATGTGGAGAATGTATTTACTTTTATTTTTAAAAGTTATCAACTCAACAATCATCCTTCTTAAAAGCCCCATTGTTATTATCTTTGACTCAATGACCTAGATCCTTGGGTGTCTTTGAATCTTCTGCTTTTGAAAGCTTGAATCTGCCATCAACTGTTTTTCCCATATTTTTTCACCTGCAGGTCTAATATGTATGTTTTTCATGCATTCCTTTAAGTCATTGATAAAAAATATTTAACATGACAGGTTGAGACACTCAACTAGAGACATTATCTAAGCTGACATTCATTCCTTAACTAATTAATTCATCTTTACATTGAGTGTGTCTGTTTAACCAGCTAAAAATCCATCAAAATGAATTCCATAATGAGGTGTTCCTTGACCTTTGGTCTGAGCCATATGTGAATCACACACCCAATTACATAAAGACCAAGCTGGTATTGCTCATTTGTGGGTTTTATTTGGGGGCTTTCGGGGGAGGAGAAGCTGGTTTGGTTTGGTTTGGTTTGGTTTGTTTTTTTGCAATCACCCTGGCACTCATTTCTCATGCCAACTCCGTATCTACCTTCATTCTGACCTGATGTCAATCTAGCACTCATATTCTCGCTTTCGGACCTATAACTCCATTCCTTCCCTTGGTTCCTTTTGATCCTTATACCCTGTTTTTCCAATATGTAAATCAGTTTCTCCAAGTGAATTTGTCTCGACTGCCCTTTCAACACTTGGTGCACTAGTTTG